CCTCTTGATCAAGGAGGCCGAGGAGACCCCACCAGATGGACTTGAACCAGTGTCCAGTCTATAAAAAGGAGGGTCAACAGAGAGGAATCATATCCTCCATGCTTCCAAGCTAAGTCAACCATGGTTGAGCAGGACCTTTGACTTATCTTCACATAGGCAGAACTGGTAAAAGAAATGAAAGGAGCCAGGGGCTCCTCCCAAACCCATGTGACACCTGAGGACTGATCCTCAAATGACCTTACAAGTGAAAATAAATGGGTTTATCTGGACCAACTGTATAGCCTTAAACACCAAAAAGGAAAGTATAACCAAAGATTAAAGGGGCCAATATAATTTCATAATCCATATGTATACCTAATGGCTACATTACAAGCAACAACGCCAGACAGGAAATACCTTCTTTTGAGTTGTTGTTCAGGGTGGCCAAAGGGATTCCCAGATAGTAACCCAGCATAGAACTGGGAAATTGAACAGCAGACCCCAGTCTTATCCAAGGGAAGTTGACAGCTGACTGCCGCTGGATAAAGAACAGCTGACCCTCCTGGAACAGGGACCTCTAGATAGGCTGACTAGATTCACCAGAGGGGCAGGTAGTGGGGAATGGCTGGGGGTACCGACAACACAGCAGACAGTATCAGGGATATCAGAGTATAAGGGCTCTAGTGGGGGGAGGGAGGCTGTGGGAGGGTGCTACCTGAGAAGTGGATGTATAAATAAATTAGAAAAAAAAAATTCTTCAAAGCATAAAAATTTGCTCCTTAATGATTAGTAGATATGAAAAAACATTACCATTGAAATCTACCTGATGACTTTATATCCATGCTCAGATGCCAAGGAGCTCAGAAAGTAACCGACTGTGACTAGTAATAATCAGATACACAGAGATTAGAAATGCATATGCATCTTAGTGTTGATTGTATTAAAAATGAATTTTTCTGTATGAAACTGTGTATTTTAATAATGAAATGGAGATCTTTTTTGAAGTTTAAAACCTCATTTAATTTTCTGTCTTACAGGGTTTATATGGAGTACAATATTACATAACTGTATTAATTCAACTGTAAACCTAAAAATTTACATCCAATTTTGAAAGAGATGTATCTTAGCTCTGGAAATTGT